AAACCTCATGCAAAACAGACCTCACAGGTATCTGACCCACAGGCTCAGTGTACTGTTACTATTTCTAGATTACCAACAAAAAAGGAATCGGTCCAGACAGACAGAATATCTGTAATCCAGCACTTGGGAGGTGTGGCAGGAAGATCAGGAGTTTAAGGCCAGCCTTAGCCACATGAGACCTTCTCCAAAAATTAAAACAAGCAAAACACGGAAAAGAAGCAGAAAGGAGTTGTGGGTGTGTTGGTGTTCCCCACTTGCAACTGCACGGCTGGGTGAGCTTCTCACACGGAGAGTCCCACCCACAGAGGGAAACGCAACTGTGCACACAAGCCTCGGGTGAGGAGAGAGGAAGTGTGGCTTGTCTTGCTTCTGACATACAAGCAGCATTATATGAACTGAGCAGGTTGTGTTTATGTATTTATATATTTAGGAACTTACACATGTGAAAATAGCAATTTGAAAGCTCCATGAATTTGAAAGAGCAAGAATACTAACTCTAAAAAAAATGCTCTCTTTACCAGCAGTTGGGCTGAAAAAAAAATCAGTACCACCCAACCACTGACTTCTCCCCTAAGGTCAGAAACTCATGCTGTTCTACTGGACGCTGAAGTCATTTGCTTCTCAGCCTCGTGGTCTGATAACTTGCCTTAGAGGTCTAAACCAACAAACCACCAGCATACCAGCACAGCAGACAAGCCCAGCCCCCTGCTAGACATGCAGAAGACACACATGGTCTAACATGGACATAGCTGTCCCAGGTATGTGGGGAGCTTTTGCACAGCCTCCCACAGAGCTCTTACCTGCCCCTTGTCCCTGACTGCCCCACACTGTTCCAGTAGATTTTCTCCACGAGCCTGAATTTGTTTCCTGAAATTCCCTAATATTCATTCTGTCTCACATTCATTGTTGGTGGAGATTACTTTTTCCATTTACTCAAGCTTTGCACAAAGCCTACTTCCAAAAGGATTTTAGATGGCTTACAAAGATAAACACATTGTAAAGAGGACAGACAAATTTAAAGCAGAATTTTAAAACGACTCGAAAGTCTTCAGGGAAAATAAACTCTTACTCTGATGCTTCCCTTACTTGACTCCTGCCCCTGCTTCCTCTGCCACTCTTCAAGATATACAGGGGCATTAATGCACCTCCTCTTGCTTTTGGGGGTGAGGACACACTCAGAAGTAAACTCTCAGCCTGGCTCCTTCCTAGATCCCAGGTTGCTGCAAGTCTGTTGAATTCTGTCACTATTAGAATGTCCTTTGCTCAAAGTGTAGTCCATATATTTAAAAAAAGAACCACAGTCATGAGATGGGGCCACCACAAACCCCTCACACTTAAAAGAGCTTGTGCTGCATTGCACAAGCCATAAGCACCCTTCGTGACGTACATTAATGAGCGATAGTCATCCGAGGGGACAAACAGAATCTTCTAATGGCAACACACTGAGGCCTCATAAAATGTAATTAGGAAACAACATTGCTCAAGTGCTGACCAAGACTTTCCTGTGTCCTGTTTTGAGGGAGTGATTCCCTATATAATCCTTTGGTTTCTTGCACAATATTTCTTTCTCATTTCTGGTTATTAAAGGAGAAGATAAATATAGTACTAAACCATCATGTACTCCCCTCTTGCCCATGTCTAGGATGAGCTTGAGTTCTGCTTTGACAATGAAGCATCACCCATGCCGTTCACAGACTCTTATACACAATACACATGAAATCACTTAGTCTACAAAGTACTGAGGGAAAGCTGCCATCATTCACATTGGAGACAGAAGCCAGGTGAAGTGAAGGAGTTTGTGAAAATGCCCCGCGAGCATCAGGATGGAATCTGGGCCATCGCCTCCAACTCCACTGCTCTGTCTGTGGTTCAGGCCAACTCCAGTCCTTCCTGAGATGTGAGTCAGGACTCATGACTAAGTGGTTGCTCCAGGGCAAAGCTGGGGCCTGCACCACTTGACAGACAGACAGCCCATCCCAAGCATCATTCATCACCAGTGTCCTCCAAGTGGACAAGTAGCTTTAAAAGGGTTTTATTGCACCTCATTTACTTTGGTGAGGGAGGAAGCATATGGCACAACATGTGTGTGGAAGTCAGATGACAACTTTTAAAAGTAACTCTTCTCCTTCCACAAAGTGAATCCCAGGAATCAGACCCAGGTCATCAGACTTGGCAGCAAGCGCCTTTAACCACTGAGCCATTTTGCCAGTCCCACCGGTGACTCTTTATTCTAGAAATGCATCCTTCTTTCTATCCTCATTGGGTGTCCATTTTCCTCCTTTCCCTGTGGTTCAAAAATATATATATATTTGCCAACATAGTATCACACACACATATATACCCCTCTCTGAAATATATCTACAAATCATGGGCTGTTTCCCACCCAACTTATTACTAATACTGACAAAGCTTTCTCTATATGCAGAGCCTCAGTTTCTAAGGGACTATCTGGTAGTAGGTTTCTTCTTGCTGTTTGCTGGAAAGACTGACTAGGAAGGTCAGCAAAGAGAGGAAGGAGGTGGATAATATAGAACATACCTTTGTGAAGGAATAACATGAGGTGTTTTGCTGTCATTACTCACTAGAAAGGAATTCCCACATTCTGACTGGTTAACATTGCTTGTATTCTGGGATACTTGTATTCTGTATACTGTTTAGTAGTTTCCTGATCTTAATTCATTCAGAAAGAGCCTATGAAGCCAATTTTAAAGGTTTTGATCAGATGTGTTGGTATGTGCCTGCTACCTTAGCACTCAAGAAGTCAAGGCAGAAGTATTGAAAGTTTAAAGCCAGCCTGGACTACATACTTAATGAATCTTGGCCATCCCAGATTACACTGTGAGCCCTTTTCTAAGAAAAAAATCTTATTTTGATTACTAAAATTCATTTAATGTAAGTCAGAATTATGGTGGGGCTTCCTTAAAAATGTATCCTGAGGCAGTCATCAATTTAAAATTATTTCAAAAAAAGTCAAAAGGTCTACTTCACACACAAACACACTCACACACACGCACACACACGTACACACACACAAGAGGCTGAAACACTGTTCTGCATTATGAAAGCTACAGTGGCAAATGGCCAAGTGTAATTATATTAATAAGTGACGTGACCTTTGAGGAATTCCTGATTTTAACATTAGTAATTATAAAAGATTTTGGGTGGCAATTGAAATTTGAACTTGGAAAGGTGTCTGATGGTATTAGGTACAGTTCTTAACTTTCTTACCATGTGGGTCATCTGCCAGTGTGGGAAAGAATGCATTTACTTGCTTCCCTGTTTGTTTATCTACTGACTGGTAGTTCTAGAGAGCCATTCCAGGGCATCTTCCATGAGACAAGTATTCTACAGCTCAGCTACACTCCAATCCCAGAATACCCTTCTTTCTAGAAAAGGTATGCTGAACTCCCCACGTCAAATACACACACACACGGGAGTGCTTGTAAGCATGACAAAGAAAAGTTTTGGTTGTTGTTTGAGACAGTATCTCACCATGTAGCCCTGGTTGACCTAGTACTCACCATGTAGCCCAGGGTGGACCTTAAACTCATAGCAATCCTCTTACCTCGCCCTCCCAAGTACTGGAATTACAGGCTCAGGTCATCATTCACAGCTGATAAAATGAAGAATTATTAAGTCTAGTGAGTGGGTATATTGATATTCATTTCACCATTGTTTCAGCTTTCTTCATTAAGTGTTGGAAGACATGGAGGTGCTCTAACTAGTCTCCTCCATCCACAGGAAACAAATCTTGTGGGTATATCTACTAATGAAGTGACATTAGATACTCTTCCAGGCCAGTGGGTGAACTGAAGGCAAAGTATAGCCCTCCTGCACTTACTATCTCCTCCACTCTCATGGAAAATCCCATTCAGACATCAGGAAACCTACCGACACAGACCTAAGAAGTTCCTAAGTAAAGATAAGAACTTTTATACTGGCCCGATAGAGGAGCCCCTTAGTGAGTTCTAAGCCAGGAACTCAGTCTTAGTAAGGGCAGGGGAGAAACAACGTCCAAGGTTGTCTTGTGGTGTATACACAGATGTACACACACACACACACACACACACACAGTGCCTTTAGGTGTTTTAAGTGTTTAGGTGGACTCCAGCAAATCAGGAAACAGAGCACTTAGCCGGTATAGCACTGTTCCTTTCCAGGGTTCAAATCCATCTTTTAGTGCACTGTTGAAGGAACAGTTACTAACTACAGAGAGATGCTGACAACCACCAAATTTACTTCTAGGAAGTCAGTTAGCCCTGTCCCTTACCTGGCTGACCTCCCATGGGTACCCTGAACTTATCTCAAACACCTCTGTCTGCTGTGCTCTTCAATGAAAGTCAAGGAATGAAACCCAAGAGCCTGTGTTCTTAGAAGACAGTAATGACAGTAATGGACTCTCACAAACTCCAGTCAGTGAGTGAAAACAAGCCCAGTGAAAACAGCCCCAGATAAGCCCATGGCCATGCTGTTGCTTCCTCGTGGCAGACAGAACTTAGTCATCTGCTGGTTTGCATGCTTAGTTGGTGCTGGGTGATGCAGACATGTTTCAGAATACAGGTGTAGAAGCATATGTGGTCTGGCTACCCAAGCATCTGCTTTTGGAGATGAGAAACAGAGGTAGCAACGAAAAGCGATGACTCAAAACTGCTGGTGAGCTCTCCTCCCTTCTGGTCATTTCTAGGAAGGAAAGCTTAGAAGATAAACTTGACAAATAGAGATTTCCCAAAGGTGGACAGCAAGAGGAAAAGTCTATTCTACCCTATTGTTCAGCCTTTGTATTGGGTGGGAAAAGACAACTGTGAAATTTATCTGAAAATTAGTTCAAAGAACTCTTTATCCCAAACTGAAAACATACCACACTAGAAACAGAACTCAAAAGTAGTGAACCATAATGCTTAATATATTTCAAATTACAAAAGATTGTGCTCCTTTGTATTTGGGGAAGAAAAGGAATGTCAGTGTGAGTCAATGACATGCCTGAGAATTGCAAGTCTTACCTAGATACAAGGATGCATTGTCTTTCTTGACGTTGTCATCTAAATAGGTTGGTCCCAGGGTGTAAATCGGTGTGGAGCCCATTCCAATGAGAACCTGTGCACAAACGAATAAAGCCACGTAGATCCAGTGACTATTTCCTCCCGAGTCCTTGGGACAGGGAGGAGGCTCCAAGATGGCCGTGGAGTTGCCATTCTGACAAAGGCCATCGTTGGAGGCCGAAGCGTTCAACTCTTGGATTTGATAGGGAGGCGAGATGAAGTGAGGTAAAGTGAAGAGCGCAGCCCCGATGGCGATAAGAAGTCCACCCACCGCCAGCCATAGGGGCCTTCGCCCACGGCCACCAAAGTAGCTGACGAACACCACCACCACCAGGTTTCCTATATCAAAGCAGCTGACCAGCAGCCCTGACTCAGAACTTTTCAGGCTATAGCGCCTTTCGATGGTGGTGATGACACTGCTCAGGTACCCAGAGACCATTAAGGCCTGGATGAAAGTCAGAAAACACATGCACACTAAGAAGCAGCGAGAATCCGTAAGGACCACGTAGAGACACTTTCTCTCCTGGAGTGTGGCCAAAGTGGAAGATACTGACACAGTTTTGCTGGGGTCCATCCTGTGGTTACAGTCCATAAGTTCCGTTGTAGTGCCTGCCGAAGTGGATGGAGCAGAAGGGCTGGGGACTATCAAGTTCCGTTCTAGGTGCATCTCTTGGCGACCTGAAACTTCAGCGCAGCCCAAGGCCAGTTTGCCGTCTGCATTCCCAGCACTGAGATTCTGTCGACAGGAGGCGCTGTGCAGGACCGGTAAACTCTTAGACCTGAAGGATTCTGACTCGAACTTCTCTTGGACAGCTCCTACTAAGGAAGGTGCCTCTAGCTGCTCTTGGGCCAGGGACTGCGCAGCCCCTTCGTCCATGGCTCTTAAAGTGTGGTCGCTGATCCCATGCAAGGCCTCCGGCACTTTTCATCCACCTGCACAAGGGGCTGATGCGGGGCCCACTCAGTCCACCCCTCCTGAGACCCGGGCTGGGGATGGCAGAGACTGGAAGCGGAACATCTCAGCAGCAGGGAGATGCCCAGAGCATCCGGACTCAAGGCGCAACAGGAAGCTTTCGCCACCTTGTACCGGGGGAGGTAAAGGTCCGCGCGGTCCTTCGAGGAGCCCTGCTTGGAGTCCACCTCCCGGGGATAGCTCGCGGTAGGCGCTTTGCGCGTCCGGTGCTCATCCCCTCTGCCGCCGCCTCTCAGACGGTGGCCAGAAGCTAGAGCGACCTGGGCCCAGTGTGGAGTCACTTAGAGCAATTGTCCGAACAACATCTCACTTTGTGGTCCCAGGCGTGTTCGGTGCCCACCGAAAGGCTTGTGACACACAGGATCGTGAAGCTGCTGAGCTGTAAAGCAGAGAATGGATGGTCAGAGAAGGATGGCTGCAGTTGGGGCTGGCACCCCCGCGCCCGGGGACTAGTGCTAAGTAACCCCGTGGTCCACAGAAGGACCGAGGTGCTAGCCAAGAGCTGAACTGTGCAGGAGGAACCGGCAGAGACTGCAGCCTCAAGTCCCGGAACAATGAGCAGCAGGCGGTCCGCCAAGACTCACGCTCATTGTCTGCGGCGGGTCTGCCCCCGCCCCGCCCCTTTTGCCTTAAACAGTGCATTTGCTTTTATATGTTAATAATTATCAACCTAGCAGCTCTGACTCAGAAGGCCGTGTCTTTTATTCGAGTGAACTAATTGCAACCTTTTGGTACTCCTACTCCATGACTCAAAATAGAAGATTCCCAGAAGAACAAAGGAAAGTTTTTTTTTTCTCTTTTACAAGCACACAATACATTCCTGGTCTCAAATTTTAAAATACGTTTTTTACGCGGTAGAAAGAAAATTACGTGTAGAAATGTGTGTGCACACTTGTACGCTAGCACGTGTGCGCGATGAGATGTGAATGCGTCTCCTCTATCAAACACCTACTTATTCAACCCTCCTCCCCGGTCAGCATACTTGCGAGGTTATTCTCTACACTAAAAATAGCCCGTTGCCGGAAAGAACTATATTCAATTACAAGTAACAAGGGCATTGGAGGCTGTGGCCCACGTTAAGTCCCAGAGCGCAATGTTGAGCGAAACCGAAAATCAATTTGCTTTGCAAATGGTTGGGTGAAGCCACAACCAAACAAAGAGAGGCTGGCAAGCTGGCACAGCGTGCGCGAGGAGCCCACCGAAACGGTTCAGCACGGGCGCGCCGGCCTGGAGGTGTGCTATTAACCAAGCACACTCCGAGAACGTGAGATGTGCAAAGGCCTGAAGTAACACACACACACACACACACACACACACACACCAAAGAGTTCACGTTGGAACTGCTTGTGCGATCCAGCACTTGGTTTGAATTCAGCGAGCGCTAACACAGGTGCGCCCCCGCTGTAAACTCCATCCCTAATCTTGGGGAACCCTATACTCCTCCCGCCCCCGCGGCGAAGTGCACCAGATGGGAGGCATTGGGATTCTGCAGCGTTGGGTTTCGTGCTGAGCTTTTGTGATGCTGCTGCGAAAAGAAAAAAGGATGAGAGAGGCGGAGGGGCTGACCGAAGGGTGGCGGCCACTGTATCTCCCAGGATTGTTCCGGACCTTACTCTCTACCAGATCCCCAGCCTGCCAGTGGCTTGCAAGCCGGGTCTTGGGCTCCGCCCGCTCACCCCTGAGCCTTCCCGGGGAAATCCACTCGTGGCTGCACGCCGAGCTGGGGAATCCCGGCGTCGGAGCCCCTGGCTGGGGGAGCAGCCGCATCGCGGCGCAGACTCGGATGGGATGGACACGCGGATCCCCGCCCCGAGCTCTCCGAACCAAAGCGGAATCCCAGGGACAACCCCTGCGCGCACACGCACTCACACACGCGCGCGTAGCCCGTAGGAGAACAGAGCCTCCAGAGACAGCTCGCTGCTCTACTGGGGGCACAAGCTTTCGCAACTCACTAGCGAGAGTGACGACCAATCTGCCGGGCTGGGAGAAGAGCGGCGGCTGTAGGACGGCGGCTGTGTGGGAAGATGGGTCTGCCGCCTGCGGAGGCGATCTCGGTCCCGCCGCCGAGAAATCAGCAAGTGAGACTACGAGTAGAGCTAGCTAACTCTTTCCCTAACCTCTGGCCTGTCACCCAAGCCTCTTCTCCCCAGACAGACACACGCGCACAGAGATGCGCCAGGACAGGAGCAGCAGAGGGCGCAGGCGCGCGGGCAGCCACCCAGCCCAGCCCTCGGGCAACCAGCCACCCTGCTGCCCTTCATCTGCACAGCGGGAAGACTGAAGCCCCAAGGGTGCGGGCGTCTTAAAAAGTCACCAACTTGTGCAGACAGCGAGGCCATTTCGTGTAAAGCACTTCTGATGCATTTCTACTATGTTCACCACACACCATGTCTTTTCTACCATAGCAGATTCTGGGGACCAAAGTGGAACAAGATCCCTGATGTAAGGAAAACTTGTCTTGCCCCCCCCCGCCCCAGATTATCCACGGAAAAGGATTCTATACAGTGCATTCTATACAGTGTGCTACTGCAGAACTAAACACCCATTAACCTTCCTGTCCAGATCAGGACAAAGGCATAGAGGTGTACACTACAAGTAAATCAGTTTTCTCATTACTGAAAAATTGGAGACATGGGGCAAAGGACTGGACTGCAAGAGTGGCAGAGAACAGGACACAGGAGTTTCGTGACTTGTGTATTGTCAGTCCCGAGGAGCCATGACATTCTGCCTCTCTTAACAGAAATAGCTTTGTCAATGGTGGTAGACTGTTATGAGTACAGCCAAGCTACGCGGGAGTATTGATGTGTGATGAGGCAGAGAGACGGGGAAAAAAGTTGAGAAGGCAGAAGTGACTAGCCTAGCTAGGCTGATGGGGAGTGGGGGGGGTGGGAACTCCAGATCTCACACTTGAGTGATGAACAACGTTTAATCAAAACATGAGAGAAGCATACTGCTTGATCTCATTTTATGAGGATTGCGTTTGAAATGCCATTAGACCTTCCAAGGATGCATGCCCCATAAGCTACTGCATATAGGAAGCTCAGGAGGTTTGGACTGAGCATGTAGATTAGTAGTTCTTACCCGTTAAGACAGCATGAGAAAAGATTAATGAATAGGGCAGATTCCAAACTGAGAAGAGATGAAGGCTAAAGTTGAGGTCCTGAATACATTAAGATCTGAGAAGGAGGAGGAGGAAGAGGAGGAAGAGGAAGAGGAGGAGGAGAGAGAAAGAAAGAAAGAAAGAAAGAAAGAAAGAAAGAAAGAAAGAAAGA